TGTTACATTTGTTTGTTCTGCCATGTTTCTTTGCTAAAAGTTTTTCTAGTTTATTTTTTTGTTTTGCTTTAATCTTGTTGAAAACAGTTTCATATTTTTATTCTTGTTGTTCATAAAACACTTTTATTTTATTTTGATGGCATGTTTTTTGTTGTAACGATATTTTAACATTATTAATGTCTTTGTTAATTTCATTCAGTTTGGAACAACAATCGCTCAGTATTATATTTAAACATTGCATATAGAATACATCCAAGATTTTCAAATATTTTATTTGATTCTGTCCGTTCCCAAAATTAAATTCCCTTCTCCTCACCTGTATAAAGTGTTGCAATTGTGATGTATTTTAGTGTGTGATATGATTAAGCTGCTGTTACACCTAAACGTATTTTAATTGATAAATAGACAATAAATGACTGAAGCCCAGGAATTGATTTTGATTTGGAATTGAAACACAGTCAGGAAAGTATGTACAATTAATTTTTAAATAAAAAGAAATTTTTAACAATTTAACATATAAGCCGTATATTTTATTTAATCACTCTAGTTTATTAACACTTTTTTTGTTCTTTAATTAGTTACTTCTGACCCATGTTTTGTTTTTAATTTTAGAATATTTTATTTAAGTTTACCAATGTTAAGAATTGTGGTTTTAATAAAGGAAATCATTAGATATCATCACTATTTCTACTATCATCATTCTGCATTTTTAATGAAAAATTTAAAAAATAACATGTTTCTTTTGGAACCGCATTTTGAAACGTATTACCAAGGTGAAACTGAACGTTGTAACGTATAGTTAAAGTTAAAAATAAGTAGTTAGAAAAGTTTTTTATGCTACCACAACCGAAAGCTGCAAGGAAAACATTGTTAATTAATCGTGTATCGTTCTAGAATCTATCCGTTACTTCTCAAAACGATACTGCAAAGCTTTTCAATCTGTTTGAATTATTTTTTCAATATCTGGAACGGTTATGCATTGCTTTGATCCGATAATTTATATTTTATAGGTTTGCTACAAAATAACCTCTGCCAATCTGTGAAAATAGATTTTGAGCAAAACATTCTAAATGCTCAAGTTGCTGTTGACAAACAATCAAAATACCAAAATGGTTTGTGAGAAGTAAAGAATTAAGGTTTAAAATCCAATTTAATAACAGTCAAACTAAAACAAGTATGAAATTATTTTTGCACTTTAGTTTTTAGTTCTTGCTATAACTATAGTGGGGTGCAAAAGTAAGGAATAATAAAAACTTCTTGAATTCGTCTAACCAATTTTATTGAAATTTTGTGCACTGAAAATACGGCCAATCATCATGGGATGGCATGGTTGTCAAGTATTTTGGTTATCTGAAATTAATAAGAATCTATTTCTCCTTAATGGCATTCTATTAATGTTATACTATTTTCAAATTTTGCTTAGAATTCTGAATCATTCCCTTTCTTTTGCATTCAGAGTTATTGAAAAAATAGTGGTCAACAATTTCAATTTTAATTAAATTTGTCTTAATATCCCTTTAAACACAATTTATTTAATAAATTGAAATGTTTGAGGCAGATGCTTCAATTGAGACATATTCAGTATTCCATGCGGTAGGTACCTATTACAAATGGAAAATCAATTCAAACCGAAAAAATATTTCGTTCAATTTCAGAAAATCTAGACAGTTGACAATAATGCGATATTCGAAGTTAGATCGGGCGTAATTTGGTACCTAAGTGCACAAAATTCCATATAATCGGAGTTGCAAATTGCGGGTTATTTTAATTATGCCACACTTGTGTACTCCAATGAATGCTTAATCAGTTATCGCATCAAAAGTGAAAACAACTCCTAAATAATAAAGCGCAAGTGGATAAATATGCACAAGGATTGGACTAATAACACGGATCTCGTGCAAAAAAATACCTAAAGCGCGTCTGCAACAATGGCGCCATTCATCTGAAAGCTCCTTACGCAGTACAAACCAAATGTTTAATAAATACTTTCCCTCAGGACTGAGCTATTTGAAAATTGGCTCTCATTAACATTAGGTAAAAATGTACTTGCCGTGTTATAGTAAACCTCAAAAATGAAATAAAAAAGTATTTACATAATGAACTATATAATGAATAATCAATTTAAGTAATTTAGATTTTAAACTTAATCAATCAAATCGGGTGGGAAATAATATGAATATCTGTTTTTCACTGCCATCACTATTTGTATGATTTTTACAATGTTTCTACATATTTCCTAAAACATATTTTAGGAATAATGTTGAGGACAATTGTCTCTAATAGCTTATTTTTTCAATGTGGTCTAATTCTGCGTCGTTTAGTGCAATATCGCCGATTAATACTGACACACTAATTCAAACAAGTTTTCGATCTGAAATTAGAGTAAATCACTAAATTCTTAAATAACTAATTAGGAACTGCGTTTGATATACAT